GCGCCCAGGAAGTTGCTGCCGGAGCCATACAATGGCTTAAGGTGCCCTCACGAATGGCCCGATGTTTTACGATCAAAGCCGAATTTGAACATTTACTCTATCTTGTGTCCATCTGGAGTCAATTTCGGGACAGTGTGACGCCCGCTTAATCATATGTCATATCTGAATCTCGTTGATACTTATTCAAATCTCTAGGTCGCCAAAAAAGTTTCAACACTAGGATGGAACCTAAGACATTCTGGGTAATGAACCAATGCATTTGTGGCGGGGTATCGGGTTCAAAATGCAATCTAGAGTAAAAAGCAGAAAGTCAACAGTAAAAAGTAGAAAATCTAAAGTAAACGGGAAAATTCTTATCTAAAAGGGTATTTTTATGGTGAAAACCTATAAATGTATGTACTTAGTCAGTAGAAACATCAAGCTTTTCAACCTTTAATCGTCATAATTCTACTTTCATGGACAAAATTTCTCCTTTCTACTAACAACTTTTGACTTTCGACTTTCCGCTTTCTACTTTCTACTGTCAACTTTTGACTCTCGACTTTCCACTTCAAATTTTCTACTCAGTATTTTCTAACGCAGATTTTCTCCAATACTATGGTGGCTGATAGTGTCCATGTAATTTTTCGCCATTTTCATAACCCGACAACACGACATAACGACGGTATTAGTGAGAGCATACGTTAAAGTAAACGTGGATATTATAGACTTTTGGCAAGCGAAATTTTTCACATCCGTATCGCGTATCCGTATCGTATACGTGTTACGTTGCGTCAGTGTAGTTTAGAGTTTTGACAGACGTTCGCGCCGCGTACGTATGGGTAGCTGAGCTGAGCTTAGTTCTCTTACAACATGACGACGCTTATCTACCAAAATCACCATCAGTGCTAGTCAAGTGCCTAGCCACAAATGCCTAGACTCGACAGCAAATTTTGGTTTCACTCATTTCAGAAAGTTTATACCCCTTTACGGTAGAATCACACCATTTACACCTCCCTAAATTTAGCACGTAGATCAATCAGCATGCAGACAAACGGGAAAAATATGAAAATTCCGAGAAAAACACGTCTTTATCATGGTTAAAATCACATCAACTATACACCTTCGTGATCTAGGATACACATAGATTCATAAAAACGCTATGTCACAACATTTCAGCGTATAAAAGTAGCAAAAAAGGCGATGAAAAGACGACGATGTTATACGGACCTTTCCGTATGAAAGCTGTTCGATACGTGCTGCCGTATCTGTGTGGCGTATCACGTATGAGAAATACACACACATTGATGATGACGTCACACACAAAATCCATACGGATACGCGATGCGGACGAGGAATTTACGCTTGCCAAAAGTCTATAATATCCAAGTCTACTTTGACGTATGCTCTCACTAATACTGTCGTTATGTCGTGTTGTCGGGTTATGAAAATGGCGAAAAATTATATGGCCACTATCAGCCACCATAGTATTGGAGAAAATCTGTGTTAGAAAATCTGAAGTGGAAAGTCGAGAGTCAAAAGTTGAAAGTAGAAAGTCGAAAGTCAAAAGTTGATAGTAGAAAGGAGAAATTTTGTCCATGAAAGTAGAATTATGACGCTTAAAAGTTGAAAAGCTTGATGTTTCTACTGACTAAGTACATAAATTTATAGGTTTCCACCATAAAAATACCCTTTTAGATAAGAATTTTTCCCGTTTACTTTAGATTTTCTACTTTTTACTGTTGACTTTCTGCTTTTTACTCTAGATTGCATTTTGAACCCGATACCCCGCCATATGCATTATCCAATGAGTCATTAAGCCTGTGGTTCCATGTGATTTTGATTTAAGACAGGCAGAACCGTCCACGACCTTGAGCAGGTGTAATTTATCAAGTGACTGTTCGGTTGCATTAATTAAAATCTACGTAATGTGACGTAATAATGGCGGCATGTCGGAAGAAAAACAGGAATTGGTGGGGTTTTTTTTATATCAACGGAAGACAACCGACACACGCATAAATCATCATGTAACAAAATAACACAATAACTGAGAAGTGTTTATGCTATTATAGTATTTACGTTACCTGGTAAGATGAGGAGTAGGTTAGATAGGCATAACTTATAATTAACCTACTGTATCTTATAATCACTGGGCGGACAGTGGAATACGAGTAAGATTAAATACGTGTATATATTGATTAACCACATTTTTATACGCGGTAGGCAATAGTTTTATTTATATTTTTTGTTGTTTAATATCTAGTGTGAAAACGATTACTACTATTAACCACATCAAATGTCTTTTTTGTCTGAATCGTTGAGAGGTATAGTCATAAGTTATATGCTGATGACTACACGTCGGATTCCTGTAATATATAACGTGGAATAATAATTGTGGTATTCGTAACGGTACAATATAAATTAAGTACCTTTTTCTAGTCCCTGGTGGTCCACCAAGAGAAAATCGCCCAAAATAAAAAGTTAGTTTTCGAGTAATTAGCATAAATCCACGTGTATATGACCGCCACTGAAACTCCTATATTTCGGGAATGATTGAGTTTAGAGCATGAAAATCTATTACAGTGAAGTGATACCGAAGATTGTTCTAGATATCCCTGCCATATGGCCTATTTTTGCGTGACAAAAAAGAGATAAAGGACACAAGAGTTTAACAAGTATGTGGACTGACTTAACGCAAAAACATGTATTACAGGTAAATAGGAAAGTGATACCACAGAATTTGTCCTAGGTACCTGTATGGGTTATTTTGGACTTCCATTGTTTTTATTAGTACGAAGCAAACTTTATGATTAAACATATTATTAAATATAACAATTATTTTAGTTGAAATTACCCGACATTACAAACAGACGAAGGCCAGCGCTAAATAAGTGTTTTGTAGTAAAGGATTGTTCGATTCGATTTGCGTGACATTAACTGAAATGGTCACCCTCTAATCTAATAACTGAAAGGAAAGGCAGTAAAGCTGACATTCAATAATCCCGATAAGTACCCTTTTCGTCTAGTTATTAAATCATTATCTCATCAACTTAACAGAGCAAAGAGATCTTGGCTTCAACAGGAAGCATTGTACAGAATACAACAAAAAGAACACATTAAATCATAATTGTATTTCTGTGCCACCCACGTTTGGTAATAATATAATCCGCCACGGAAACTAACTAATTAGAAGGTTACGTTTGATAAAACGATGGAATTTTGTTGTGTTATATAAATCATATCCTGTATTATTGATTATTGATATTTTGCTAAGTGTGCAAAATTCAGAAACTACCATTTTATGATCTCTTATCTAAAAATAAGTAAAGAAACAATCGATCTTAAAACGACAAAATCTATGTACATGTACTCTTTAAAATACTTCCTTTTAAAATATTATTTATATCCATCAATTTTAACGTAAGTTAACATCTCTATTGATTTCATGCCATCGTATTTATCTCTCTTAATTAGTAATAATAATTGTACAAACCCATTCTTCATAATGGCTTTTAACGATAAAGGCGCGATACCCTTTGGGGTTAGGGAGCCGCGGTGGCTCAGTGCACAGAAAGTTGGTTCGCTAACCTGGAGCCCCCGTATCCGATCCATGCCTTAGCCGAGAAAGTGTTTCGGGATTTGCAGGCGTGCCCCCCCCCCCCATGCATAAGTGTAGAGCAGCGGGCCTGGCAAGGGACAATGTATAGTCCACGTAAAAGATCCGTGGCAGTTGGAATTCTATATAAGAGTATGCCGTAGTGCCGCTGTCATTCCAAAATTTTGATCGATGTAGAGATGAACTAGATCACTTGATATGTCACCATTTCGGTGTGAATCGGGCTTAAGAGGTATTTGGCATATGTGTTAAGAATACAATAAGCATATCTCTATATCCTGCAAATATGGCGCCATTGCTTTTGGCTAGTATAGTTCTCATATGGACGAAAAAAACCGGCATATTTCTTTGACACTTTTAGACTATACCGGATAATGTAAGATAAAATAAAAAAAATAATCGGTTACATTCTTACCGAATCGAATATTATATAGCCTGGTATTATAAATAAATTATCACATATTGCATTATTCCACTTATGCATTTTGATATCTTAAACCACCTGCACATCTGTACATGTAACATATTCATAAAGAGATGTGTGGCTCAGTTTCACAAAAAAACCTGCCGTGCAGAATACAAGTGATAGGCATGTGTTTGTTTATTTATACACTGTCAGTGCGCTTGTATTATTTACAGGTAAATATCTCATAGTTTACTTGTACCCACCTTAGTTGTAAAGATCGAATGGTGAAATATATTTATATTCATCCTCTGTAACACACGAAACATTAGTTTTGGCCCCCAGCATGCCAGAAAAACAACAATGATAGTTATCAGCATTTTTATAACCTGAAAATTAATAAACATCATTTTATTAGTGTATTAAGTTTCTAAATATTGTTTGACATCGATATTCCTATATTTATGTTCAACTTAAAATAATCTAAAAACACGATAGCAGCTCTACGCCATTCACGGTGGCACATAAAGATATATATATCTAATTATCGTTAGTAATTTGATTTCTAGTTTATTTGTCTATTTACTCGGTAAATATGCGGAGTTAAAATTAAAGAATATACCTAACTATCTAGTTATTATTATGCGTGTTTCGGGTTCGGTACTGTAATTGCGCTGCTATATGTTAAATAAAATATTTGCATGAACTTATTTTTATTGTTATAAAATCATTAGCTGCAGTAACAATGATTTAAATTTCAGATGAATTGTTTTAAAACGTCCATTTGTTGTCGTTTCTATAGAGCGTGGTCAACGAACCATAGTGATAGGAGCGCTTCGATATCAATCATGTGTCCCGTTTTTATAATACTTAGAAAGCGTAATTGTACAAGAGTTGAAATATCTGCTTGTTTAGTACTTATCAACTGATTGTTTGCCCGCGACTTCAAAAATAACGTGTTAAGAAAATGAGCGATGTTCGGGTATTTATCACTTGATTTACGTTCGTCACAACTGATGTACAAACCAAGTATATCATTGGTAGTTTTGGCCCGTGTGTATTGAAGTAGACCAACCTGTTTTCTAGCGCGAAGCACTTCAGCGCTGTGTTCCCTTGTAGCTCTGTGAACCAAGCTTCGTCTAGTTCTGATATGACAATGTCTAGAAATGGACGGTGTCTCTGGAACTGTTAATCTATTCCCGGCTTCAATCTCTGGGGAAGACGGTGAACATAATCTGCTAATATAAAAGATTTACTTTATCGTAATTTCAAAAAGGCATGCGAAATCTTGATATCCCCGATCTTAAATGGCAAGCAAATTCCAGACATACAAAAGGTAACGGGTGAAGTCAACTATGTCTAAAGTCAACTATCTTAATTGGAGTGCAGTGAGGGCGACGGCAACGAACATCCAATCAAAAAGTGAAAACAAAATCAATCAAGAGGTTACTACACATGTTTTGTGTACGTTTAAAATGTCTTCCCATCTCACATTTCTCAGTAGAAGGCCCTATCCCGTGTCTGGAGTTGCGGGGGTGGGGGGGTACAGCAAAGAGTTGTCCCGGACACTACCAAACCTCTACACTCTACTAAAAATTTCTCTTAATTACAAAAGTGTCATATTTTTGCCAAACATATTTTTCAATTAAAGATGCATTATGTAAGATTTAGATAAAGACCTGGTCGTTCGTGCTATAATGGTTTAAAAGAGGATAATGAAAACTGAATACATATTACTTATGAATTTTGAAGTTTTGACAATAAATAGTGTCGATTGTCAAGTACCTATGGCACGATAATAAAAAAGATCCATATCGTCAGTCCTTCAATCGGCAGTATCCGTGACATATTATATATTAACGTTTATTGAAATTATGGCGAACGTTGTCTAAACCACTCCATACCCTAGCCATCCGATGGTTGCGGTAATTAATTATGGGCTTGGCACGTGAACACATTTCTAAATAAAAAAAATAAAACATTTGAAGGCAGAAAAAAGACTTGCAATAGACAGATGTAGCTCTTGCATAATGTATTATTTAAGTTTCTAAATGTATCATTTTGATACATATTTCTACACCGCTACGAAGAGAAGGGATAATTGGCATTGTTAATGAACCGTTCTTGTAACAGATCAGTAACTATGAAAATGATAGTATATGATCACTATACGTATTAACGAACAGCTGAAAGCATATAACAGAAAGATGGTTTATAGCTAAAAGTAGAGTAAAATACATCTTTAACCTCTAAGCCAATGTACAAGGCAGATGTCTACGTTTTGTAAAGTGCGAGTCTATGTATCGGAAACTAATTATAAAGATAAGGTCGTAAGATTATAATTTTAAATAATGAAACCTTTACATATGCATTTATTTTGGTTAGAATATGCCTTAAGGAATTTGTGATGAATAAGGACAAAGAAAGTGCGGAGGTGACGTTTTAGAATTATTTTGTATAACTATAATTTCGCAATTCCATTCCTGGTTTTGGACCTTTTATATGCAGCCAGACATGCAATTTCGTTTTTTTAACAGGAATAAAAGAAACATCCGTTTTAATGTGAAGCTGTAGAATTCATGAAATTAGCTGACACCAAAGAGTCTTTAGCAAACATTCAAATAAAAAAATGTTTGCTTCAAAAATGGTAGGACATCGAACTATCTATATTTCTTCAGGACTGTGTTTTAGCGACACTTTTAGCTCCTTGCGTGGTAGACATCGACTTCATGATTAATTGAATTACATTCCGATATCTCTTTCAAAACTTGGTGCCCCCTGTTACATTGTCCACATTCCCAAATATAGGTTATTATTAACAGGTTCAATATTAGATATGCAATGGCACCTCATAAACCGTGGCAAAATCCGGAATAAGGCCTGTTACGCCTGTTGATATAGACAGCTAGACTCCAAATAATAATATTGATTATCATCAATGAAACAATTATAGCAAATAATGACTCTGGGATCTTAATTACCTTTTAATAATCTGTATGTTTAAGTTTAAAAATAGACCGAATTAGAAGGTGGTAATGAACAGTTATTCATGACTGCATTCAGAAGTCATTAAAAGCCACTATGTTGACGCAGCCTTCTAGGGTTTGATTTTGGTTGGTGGGCGGAGGATGGGGTATATTAGTGGATATCGGTGTATTGGTAGAGAAATTGGTTATGGATAATAACTTTCATTAGTGTTGATCATTGTTGGGTGCTTATTTGAAACGTGGTGGGTCTTTGCCTTGTGGCTTAAATGGATTAAGTTGTTTCTTCAGCTCAATTTGACTTCGTTGCAGGGTTTGATAAAGAAATATTAAAGTGTATATTTTTTTTTAAAATAGTATTATTCTTTTAGTTCTTCGATTCATCGTTTGTTTTCTTTACATTTATGTCGTTTTTTGCCTTTACTATTTTCAAGGTGATGTCTAGGACGTACTAAAGACAAATTCAAATTGATGCAAAGATCTCAGCCAGTTAAGACGTGATAAACCTTATTCCAGAATTCCTGATAAATCAATACGTTTTAGGAGATTCAAAGTAATTTTGATGTCTTCATAGAAGATTTTCTATCTCCAATCGACAAATTCAATTATGTAGACGTACTTAAACAAATAACCATTAAATGAATATACAAATAAAAAACATGAGAAATTTGCAGACAAAATATCAGTCCAGTGATGTAAATAATACAATTCAAATCTGAAAGCCAAATCCCATTCAGCGCTTTAAGAACTGCACTAAGATACATTAAATCATCATAGCACCTGCAACCAGTGCCCTTTTGTTCGTTTTCATCTATTGCCGGTTTACCGTTTTAATCTGAACGATATGGATACCGTTATTACGTGAACTTTCAAAATAACGTGGTGTATTAAAATGCTCTACCCAGAGTAAACATATATCCTCTGTCTTGCACCACAACCGTTAGTGTTTAAAAGTTCAGAACCAATATCTACTTGCGTGGTAGACGATAACTCTTAGAGAATACCTATACTTAAAAACAGAAGTGAAACAGAAAGCTTCTAGTCCGCCAATGTTTTGGTTACAGTTGAAATTCGATAAAGAGTAGATGGGGTCCCCTTTGTCCTCCATAGCACACTGCATGACGTATGCTCACCTTCATGGTGGTACTGACGCATTGGACGTTAAACTTCATACCATTTCAATTTTGAAATAAATGGGAAATGGTACGAGGTGTTCGAGAAAGAATAAGAATCGAAGGAGATCGATACTATAGCTGATTACAATTAGACAATTGATTTAGCTAGCTCACAGAACCATGCTAATCGGGAGCTTTTAAAACTAAATGGTATTTCTGCTTTACGTGCATGTAATTGTTCAAATTAAACAAACGTATAAACATGACGAGAATTTAATAAAACCATGGGACCCAATATTCGCATGAAACCGGAAAAAAGATCAGTCTTGGCAAGGGAAATATATCCGTTGATCGTGTTCTGCATTTAGTTTCCCAAAATATCACTATTACTCATGATATTAGATGGCTGGCATTCTACCATGGGGAGATCAGTATTAGCTAACAACATCGCTGAACTAATTCCCTTTACTTTGATCTTTAACCTGAATCCTTAAAATCGTGATAAACGAATCTACCAGTGGATTTTATTTTTAACCCAAAGAGAACCCGGTGCTTTATTATGGTCGTTCTGGCTAGATTTTGTTTTCTACCAAGAAGTATGTGCACTCTAGTAAAGGCTTACCTTTAATGTTTAGTAGAAATGTAAATAAATTATATACAGATTAAACCCAAAGGCATATTTCTTTATTAATCTAAATTTCTTAGAGAATCGAAACTTTCTTTGTTTCGTACATAATATTTGTTATAAAGATAATTATAGTTGACGGAAAGGTATGATTTGCGTTTCAATTAATCTCTTTAAAAAGTCATTAATAAGGATCAAAAATAACACTTTGCAAAATATAATTATCAAAAATATCGATTATTTCTTTTTAGAATCGCCTACGATTTCTGGATTAGCGAAATTGTTTGAAACATTGGTTGATTTTGTTCTTTAAAACAACTTTCTTTTGCCAGGGCTGTATAAAATAATAACAAAATCTATATGTAAATAGAATATCTCCGTATTTGAGTCATTATTCCCTGTGAATTTCATTAAACATAATTTCCGTTTTATTAAAATAGTTATTTCAATTCGTATACCCAGTATCATACTCTCAGAAAGTGTATTTGTTTTACCTCTTATGGTATAACTTGTCGCGGATATATTCCAATGTAGAAATTCTATTATAATTGTACATCGATTTGATGATCTGTGGATCCACATTGCACACTGCTTTCAATGCTTTTAGTTCGCAATAGTAAATAAGAAATGCCAACGGTTATTAATATTCTATTATGAACATGTTTGGTTACAGTATCAGTAAGCTAGGTATCTCACTAAATTAATACGATTTGTATGGGGTATCAGAATACGTTGCATTTAAAGCCTCCAAGTTGTATGATGTACATGCGCGCCGGGGATATATATTTTTATGATCCCTGTACTGGTCACTTACAAACTAGGGATCGACCGAACACTTGACGCAATGACTGGACTTATGATCTAAAATTCACGAGTAAGACAACCCCATAAAAGTATAATTACATATAACTGCTTGTGAAGTATACAAAATGAAACGGAAAAGTCTTATTATTAAAATATTTTAGATTCACCCAGGGCAGGGAGACCTAGCAAGGAACAGGGTCTAGTCGTCCCTATGGTTTGAAAACCCTTGGGCACGTTGTCGGGCAAGTAAAGAGCCCTTGACAATAGGAATGTTATTGCTGTACGGGGCAAAAAGTTCATCATAGTCCATTGTATGGCATATGACCGTGTTCAATATCCCGGGTTGTGCAGATAGGTAAGGTTTTAAATCGCATTCGATTGATTCAATATTTTATGTAAATACTTTATTTATTTTATTCATCCATGCATTAGATATAAAATAGTTAACATTTATCACGGAATTTTCTTTTTTATAGTTATGATCATTGTTTAAGCCTCAGATACAGTTTAACAAAGAATGCAGTATTTTTCTATTTTGCTTGGGGTAAGGGACATTAGTTTACATCATCTAGCATGTACAATCATTTATCATGGCTGATTCATCGATAGCAGATTACAGATGGTACCCATTTAGCAATGTAATTGCTCAGAGGTCTAGTGTATCCTGTACTTTTTCAAAGACATATACAAAACTCCGGGCGATCATTGAAGCTTTTGGCGTTCATTTGGCTACAGTTGCCCTAATTATTTTCAGTAACGGAAACAATTTCTTTAATTTCTGATGTTTCTGATATAAATGTAATGAATAGCGAGATAAGCAACTTCAATAAGTCTGAATAGGTTATTTTTAGCCAAGGAATAATAATGTTAAGCGATTGATTTATGAAGGGAACACAAGTCATGAATATACTGATTATAATTCAACATTTCTGTTGTATTTTATTTCAAAGCAGTTATGCGGAAAGTGATAATATACTTTTTGCATTGAGAAAGGAAGGAACGGAATTCAAGCCTTTCATGTGTATGCAATTGGATCAAACTTACCTTTCAGCGCTACTATTATTTGGTCTTGTGAGTGTTAAAAGTTGACGGGAACTGATCCACAGTGAATGAATAACAAAAACATAACAAAAGAACAATATAACCGTCGGGGCAACAAACATAACTAAAAACTGGTACACAGCAAATGCTAGTCTATATGGTTTTTCTATTCCAATATCGGCACAGTAGATCATACTGACAGAGGTATCATTATTATAAAATACATTTCTCTCTGTATTCTGAAAGTAACAAGAACAATACAGGCATTATGGTTTGATACAAATAGTTCATCAATTCTTATAGAGAGAAGGCTATACAAAATTCTTTTCAAAAGTTTTTTTTTTTTTTTGCTTTGTACTCGTTTTAATTAATCCGAATAGCAGTGGCGTGTGCAACGTACATGGTGGGATTACCCTTTCTAGAACCCCTGATACCACTTTTCAATTTTTCAATTTTGTTAAAGGTGTCTGATGTTGTTTATAATCCACCCCCCCCCCCCCCCCGAGGATTGCTGGTACTTTTGGTTTGTTATTGTTACCGGGTATCCCTTAAATCAAGATAAGATATGATGACAATCATTATTATTCTTCGAATGTTAGTTGCACTTAACAAGGGAAGCCACCGTTGTTCACATGAGTAAGGCTCTAGTTCACTAATCGGGATGTCTGAGTTTCGATCCCGTTTGTTGACAGGGATTTTTCAGTGTGCTTTCCCGTTATTAGTCGACTTAACTGTTGAAATTCGAAATAAGAGTAGTCTTTAGCGCCGCAGTCCGAACGAATTTTTCCTTCAAAGCATACTGAATGGCATATGCCCGTCTTCATTATCCCGGTTGGTGGAGAAATATAGGACGTTAAACCCAATTCCGTTTCATTTCTTTTTTGTATAATAATAACGGTTACTTAGAAGTCGTTAAGTTAATAGCGTAATGCGCAATGCCCTCGTGGCAAGTTCTTTTTTTTACGTCAAGACAGACCATCAATAATTTACCAGCGTGTGTAGGAACCAAGTAATAAGTTACTTACCATAACATGGAATGTAGGTGAGGATAGTAACAAGGCCATAAACCACACACCTGGTAATATCTTCTTGGTATTACCAAGCGTACACCAAGCCCGTGATAATATAGGATGAACAATAACAATATACCTGAAACGATACCAAATAATAGTTTGAACAGCATTATGATCATGTATACATATGCATAAAGTAGTATATGTTCATTTTTGTTCCGGGAAATTCTTCTTGGGGGCAAAGCTCTTCGACAAAAAGCTTAAGGCCCGCCAATTACAGCACAATCGACATGAAACCTGGCATGCCTGCTCGATTCCAAAATTGCTCGGTTCCTGATCTATATAGTATTGTCGTACCTGTTACATTTTTATAGGTTGTGAACTTTGCTCACTCTTTGTATTAATGGAATAATAGTTGTTGAATAACTGGTTGATGGGTGTTTCCATTACATTCAAGTTCCATTCGCTAACCGAACCAGACATTAAAGTTAATCAACAAGAACGAGGGAATGAATCCTTCTGTAGTAGCTTTTAAAATATTTTTTCAGTTGAGGCTCGTTTAAAAACCCGAACTTATTAACATCTGACAGTAGTAGGTCTATCACATAACCCACTTACATCCAGGACCAGCAGTTCGTGGAAATATGATTGCTGGACAAACACCTACGGTTTACTTGTAAGTTATTAAATGGCAATCATTACCCACATGTCTGGCACCGAGTGCTGCTGCTGTCACTCAATGTACGGAAGTCATTATACTCTAACAACCTGAACAACACTTGCTAAGTCAGGTAATTATACGATTCTGGTGTCCTCATAATCATTCCGTCATGGTATAACATGTACATTAAGCAACATATTATTATTATGTACAACGTGAAAGCTATTCATATTGAACACAACCTTGACCAAGGATGTTTCGTCTATCGTCAAAAGGGAGAATCCCAGATTTTCACACTAAATTGTATTTTTAAAAAAACAAGTACATGTTTGCCACACACATAATTGTACATGTAATGGCAGACTTCGATGTTTTGAAAATACAAGCATGCAAATTGTATATAATATAACGACAGACATTGATGTTTTACTTGACTGTATATGACAGATTACGATATTTTAAAAATACAGATATGCCACACACATAATTGTGATGAAGGACAGATTCCGATGTTTACGAATATTCCACAATGATAATTTATGGTTTGTTACTCTTGCATACACGAGAAAGTGCGTCAAATGAAAGTATAATAATAGAGTTGGGTTCCATCGTATTTTTTCGGTCCTTTTGTTCAGTATAGACTGAATAGAAATAGTGTAAAAATAACTAACAGATGTACATTTGGCAGAATAGACCGGCAAATTTACATTTGGCAGAAAGTTTAAAATTCAATTCAGTTTCCATTTTGATTTTGAAATTGTAATCTAATTTGCAAGAACTTTGTTCATTAATTAATATAACATTTTGGAATGAGTTTTAGACTTTAAAAATACATTAATGGAAATATTAGAATACATATTTAAATAATCTGATTTTCTAATAAAGATCTATTAAGTGCCCACCTAACTACAGTAACAGAACAGTCTAGAAATATGGCCAAGAGCTATATTCTGTCATTTCATATCCTGTAAATAAAATCAAATAAAATTCTCCAAATCCTTCAATTGTCTTCAAAAAAAATGAACAAATGCTGTTTAGCTTATATTTGAAATAGTATTTGCCAACCATATCACGTTCGATGCTGTTTTCAATGTTAGCATCGATTCCCCGGTTGTACGTGACAAGGAGTAGGGTCGCCTGTCCAACCTTTGCGTTTTCTCCCGGTCCTCCGTTTTTCTCCCACTGCTAGACACCTGTGCGCAAGCGAATTATTGAAATAAAATTCAACAATATGTTAGTCCCGAAATGACCTAGGTTGTGTCGCGTGGTAGTTAAACCCCATCTCTCTCTCTCTCTCTCTCTCTCTTTCTCTCTCTCTCTCTAAATTTCAGCATTCCGTTCAACCACCAACCACACGAAGAGCGAGTCGTTTATATTAACAGAAGTTAGAAATTACATGTATATAGGTTAAAAATTACATTAACAAAAGTTAGAAATTATACGATAGCACGTTAGAATTTTGAATCCAATATACCGCCATAGTTGAAACCGTTGATACACTTCATTGATTTCACTTTATTAATATGATATTTATTGAATTGTTACCTATATCAAGTCGACTATATAAATAATATTTTATAGACAATAGCATGCATTTAAGAAAACTCATATTTAACGATATCGATCATATTAATTAGATTGCAACTGGCAGTTTCTCAGTAATACCTCTTACATTATGAACAGATTTCTTTTATTATAAAACAGATATGATTACTCTGAAGTCGCTTTCACTTTAAATCGCAGTTTGGGTCGAGAGACGAAGACGACTACAGGGATAAATGTTTTAAATTGACAGCTACCATATGAATTTTACCACAGAAAAGATGTTTTCTATTAAATTAAAGTGATGTCAAAAAACGTCTTCTTAAAGATAGTCTTAATTATTCATAACCTTATATAACTTGACAGTTCGATTTAAACAGAATTCGATAAAATAGCACTACGCGCTATCTAGCATGTTTAATAAAATAAAAACATCATTGATTTTATAAGGACACATCTATAAAATAAAAACATATATTGAAACCCAATTAGCTAAAATTACAAACATCGTACCGGATCACGTGACAGAAATACAAGATATTTGAGGACAATTGACTTATCCATTGTTAGTAGGCAACTTACATCTGTTTCATGAGCTACTGATCAATATATTTTCCCATGTTATCGCAGTTTCTTGTTCGATTGAGAGTTGTTGTTTTTTATTCCAAGTGGGTGCAGGGTGCATAAATTAACATGGAACTTCTTAATACTAAACACGAATTTGATAGCTCCAATGGAATGTCAGATTACAGCTAAATGCTGTTTTATGTATACAATTGGATCAAGGGTGTATAAATTAACATGTTATATCAAAACAGCAATTTGATAGCGTAGACAGAATGTTGGATTGCAGCTAGATACATAATATTTAATAGTTTTCTTTGAACAACTCCTGTGTTGGAATATGTCATTAACAATGAATATGTACAATTGTTTTTCAACAAAAATAAGCCATAATATCTGCTTTTAATTACTCTTTAAGTCCAGCGAATTCATTATATTTATGTAATGCGTGTTTAAATACAAAAATAGCTTGCTTTTATCTCACACCCTTAATAACCTGTTATTAAGGAAAAAAGACTGACAGTGTGGGTTTATCAGGTTCATGCGTGCAATAAGTACATGGCCAAGGCCAGCAAACATCATGAACTAATTGTCAGCGATAATTCCTCGGCCACCAAAAATGATGAATGAACCTTAATTTGAGGCAAATATATAACCGATAAAATTGTGCAATGCAGTAAAATGATACAATCTTTGGTCAATACTTTCGTTTTAAATCATTTTTAGATTATATATAAATTTTAATAGCTATATGGGGGAAAACTCGACTGGCGTACACATCACGCGATTGTTATTCCTCTGCTGTTAAGCTTCCTCTGCTGTTAAGCATTGGCCAGTTAGGTAGAATTTGTTCGATTGTCGTAAACCCTTAAATAATATAAATCTCTTATGACCCATACCTGGTGTGGGTGGGTCTTGATATTTTAGAAACTCGATATACTTATGAATAATGAAACCTCGCAATACTAGTTTATGACATCATGTTCAGTATGTGCCTATATGCAAGAGGTTTATCTGCGAAGTCAAGATGAATTCGGCATGGAAAGTTTATCTGGGAGGTTCACGATGTATTCTCCCAGGAAGGTTTAGCTGCAAGGTTCAAGACAAATTCGCCCGGGTAGTTAGTATTCTCGACCTAATTCCCATTCCGAAACCATGAAAATAATGTTTTTTTGCTAGTCCTCGATAATTTGTTAACATTGATCGTGCTTTCCTCGTGACTTATTTATAACGTCTTAGCAGTTTGTCATTATTATATTTCTTATTCTGGACAAGACCTATCATTAATCATCCCAGCTCGTTATTGACAATTGGTGCCTATATTTGATCTCATTTACAAAATCTGCAGGAAGCCAGAACGCTTTACTCCCATTCAAGAATACATAGTTAGGCCTGTCAGTGATAAGAATTTTCATTTATCAATCTACCAAATTGATTATTTGCGGGTTAGTTAGAACTTCCATTTATTAATCTTTCATTTAGGTCCATCAGCTTCTAGAAATATCCAAAACAGTTGATGTCGATCAACTGCTAGACATACATACCCAAGACAATCCATATACATGTACTTTTATTTAAACCTAATTACAATTTTACGTGGACTAACCTCTGATATAGTTTATTTAATGTTTCGTTGAAAAGGGACTAATGCCCTAATTTTGTATTTATACGTTCATAACTCTACTAAAGTTTTACACCCAATCGGTTGCTTCCCTTGTTTATGGAACTTTGTATTTATGGATTGTCTCATTTTTACAAATTGAATATATATATAAAAATAAATTTTCTTTAATGTACTACCACAGGCACGTGTGCTCCGGACACCGTCGCCCGCCATCCACATTAATTTGAAAAGGTTTCAATTTTTAGCATATTTACTTTTCAAATTATGAAGAAAAAAAATTATTTGCCCTTCTTACCCCTGATCTCCCAACGGCCCTGTGAGATACCATCTGTTTATGTATTATATTCCATTCCGGCCTATGCATTCATTTAATTTTGCATTACATTCTATTCAAAATATAGGCCTGATATACCCACTTAGGAAATTAATTTTAAAGCGCTAGCCTATATGTAAGCAAAGTACGAACTTCCCTGAATTCTTTAAAAATCTGTATAAAAAGAATGAGCGAATATACTATGAATTAAAAGCGAATAGAGGAAATGTCTAATGGTATATAGACTCATTTTCCTATTACCATAGCATAGATCCTCTGCGCTGTACAGTCCCTGGCCTGTCTACTACTTGGATTGCGAATTGTCTTCGAAGTAACACAAGCTTTGTGATGGTATGGACATCCACACATGCATAATCCTGTGCCAATTATTGAAACATTTCAACTTTTCTAGCAGTCTGAATTGGTAATAAT